CCTGTTGTATAAATACTTGTTTACATTGAGTAAATAATATGGAAAAACACTCTCTTTGGGCTTCTAAGTGTCAATATAAAACGAAGTTTGAAAATGGTTTAATCAAAAAGGATCTAATCATTAAAAGTTTTCTGGTACTAAAAGCCCGGATACAAAGTTCAAATAGAGCTCGGATACAGAGTTCAAATAGAGCTCGGATACAGAGTTCAAGCATAGCTTGGATACAAAGCTCAAACACGCTTATCATAAACAACCGAGTTTCTCCTTTTAATGTGCCATATACATAGGCATAAATTAATTTGAGAAGTGGTAAGTATTTGAGAAGTGTATATAAGTGATTCTAACCCTTCTTCTAGCCTAGTGGTAAAGGCTTGGGCATGGCATAGTCATGAACCCGAGTTCGAGCCCTGGGAGAGGAGTATTGATGACATTTAAGTGAGGCCATGTTTAGCCTCCAAATTTGCCGGGGATTAGTCGGGCTTTGGCCCGGACACCCTTACAAAAAAAAAAGTATCAGATAATTTCTCGCATGGTATGCAAAAGATAGAGGGGTAATTCTCTAACTTTTACAAATAGGCGGCAAAACAAGTGCATATACGAACCCGTGTGATTCACATGTGAACTATATGTTCATAGGTGAACCCGTGTAATTCACATATAAACTAATTAACTCATTCACAAATGAACCCATGTGATTTATATATATATATATATATATATATATACTAATTAACTGACTCATATATAAATTATAGGTTGACACATGCAGTTTCACATATGCACTTGTTTGTTGCCTATTTGTAAAAAATTACGAATCTACCCTGTATTTTTTACTTAACCAGTTAAAACCGTAAATCTTGATTAAAGTCTCAATCTTTGACCAATCTTGATCGTATGAAATGTTAAGATCATTTTCTTTACTTCTCAAATAATTAGTCTATTTTAACGAAACCCCCTCGCTCGCTCGCTCGCTCCCTGACAATAAATCCTATTGACATTTGAAATAGAGGGACCAATCAAGGTATCCTATTGACATTTGAATAGAGAGATAAAACAAGGGTACCAAGTTGACCAAACTCTCATTGCTTCCACATTTATAGTCAACTTTCTTAGTCTCCTCACCCAAAACCTAAACCACCCTTTTTTTTCTATGTTCATCTCAATTGTCAACATCATCTTCAAATATCATTTTAAGGTAAATACACACTTTTTTTAACTATTAATTTTCAGGGTCTTATAAAATTATGTAATAAATTATCATTTTCGTCCCCGTGGTTTGAGAAAAACTGCAATTTTCGTCCTTGTAGTTTTGAAATTATGATTTTCGTTCCTATGGTTTGTAATTTATTAATATTTTCGTCTCTGAGACTAAATATGTTAAAAACCTTCCATTAACATAAGGGTATTTTAATCTTTTTGATTTTTTTTGTTTATT